GCCTTGACAGCCAGACAAGGAGTTCAGACAACATGGCAGGAAACAGATCTATTCAGTTTTCAACCACTCAAGCAGCAGAAAAAAAAAAACAGTGCCTAAGGATGAGTTAAAAAACGGAATGCAAGGGGAGCCTGGGTGGCTCAGTCGTTAAGCGTCTGCCTTCAGCTCGGGTTGTGATCCCGGGGTCCTGGGATTGAGCCCCGCATCAGGCTCTCTGCTCATCAGGAAGCCTGCTTCTCCCTCTCCCACTCCCCCTGCTTGTGTTCCTGCTGTCGCTATCTCTCTCTGTCAAATAAATAAAATCTTAAAAAAAAAAAACAAAACGGAATGCAAGATGAACAGGGTGAGATTAAAAACAGGGAAATTAGGTAAGAAGTGAGAAAAGCCTAGACCAGGATGCTGAGGTTAGAGGGGATGGAGAAAATACTTCTAAAAATAAAGTCTACTGGACTCAGTCACTGGCTTCATATGGGGAATGACAGATAAAGCAGAGATAACTCAGAAAAAAAGCCAAAGGTCTATGTTTGCATAATTAGAAAACAGCAGTAATTTTGAGGGAACAGACAGATTTGGTTTGGGACAGGTTTCATGATGACAATACTCTGCAGGGCCCTCTTCAAGACTGGTAACTGGAGATAACATTTGTGGAGTTGGCAGCAGAAACCAGACAGCTGCAGATAAAACAGATGAGCCACATAGATAACCACTGGCTAGGCTGCCTGGAAGCCAGGGCTCACTACTCATTCTGAGCACATATCCAATTCTTGCAGTGTCATATTCTCACAGGAATGAGGCTAGGATGCAGCACACTTACTTTTGTATAATACAGAGTTCCCAGTGAGAAATGCTCTCCCCCTTTCTCTCCATATCTTTCCTACTCTTCCAGGCACACATCAAGGCTCAGTTCTTTTATAAAGCTTTTCAGTCTACCCCACCCCCAACACGGTCTTCTCTCTGAACTTTTTTTTAAGACTTATTTGAAAGACACACACACACACACACACACACACACACACACACACACACACAGTGGGGGGAGGGGCAGAGGAAGATAATCTTGGAGCAGACTCTCCACTGAGCGCGAAGCCCAACTCGGGGCTCAATCTCACCACCCATGAGATCATGATCTGAGCCGAAACCAAGAGTTGGAAGGGCACCTGGGTGGCTCAGTTGGTTAAGCATCTGTGTTTGGCTCAGGGTCCTGGGATTGAGCACCGCATTAGGCTCCCTGCTCAGCAGGGAATCTGCTTCTCCCTCTGCCCCTCCCTCCACTCGTGCACAATCTCTCTCTCTCAGATAAATAAAGAAAATCTTCAAAAACCAAACCAAACCAAGAGCTGGACACTTAACTGACTGAGCCATCCAGGCACCCCTCTGAACTTGTATTATTTCTAGTACTCATCGCCTGTGTAAGTACATGTTTCAACAGTTGCATTCACATTTTCCTAATTTCTAGCTATTAGCCAAACCTCCAGAAGCACACTGAGAGCCTAGCCAGTGCAGTAAGCAGGACTAAACTAAAGCATACATGCTTCTATTGGGGAGTCTTCGGAATGTTCTCTATCTTCTTCACCAACGAGTAAAGTGTTTTGGAATCATGGGATTCTACAAAGGCCTTGAAGCCAAACTGCTACAGACAGTCCTCACTGCTGCTCTCATGGTCCTGGTTTATGAGAAACTGACAGCTGCTACCTTCACAGTTATGGGGCTGAAGAGTGCCCGCAAGCACTGAGACACCTCACACTGCAAAGTGCAGCAAGATGCTCAAGATGGGGGGTTCCTTCTGTGTGAAGGGAAGTGATTCTCTTTTTATTCTTGCTGTGTGCACCATGAACCTTACCCTCATTGGCTGGAAAAGCGTCTAAGGGTAAACATGGAATATAGCCAGCTGGACCTGTCCACAACTTAATTTTTATGATGGTTGGTTGAATTTTGTGGGGGAGGTTAGTCTAATGGTCGTACAAAAAAAAACCATTACTGAAAACCTGAAGATGGAAGTTTGTGGGTGTTTACTGTTTTTCTTAAGGTGAATGGACTTTCTACTTTCTACTTTCTGTAATCTTTTCCAGTTAAAATCTTTCTTAAATTTATCAGCTGTTCTTTTCCTCTGATTCTAGGGACACATTTAATACCATATAATTCTCCTCATATACTTTTGTATGTTTTAATCTTCGTATTTCCTCACTAAAAATATTATGATTGTTCCACAAAAAAAAAAAAAAAAAAAAGCATGCATGCTTCTAAAAATGTACTGAATGACCAAAGCCCAAGAGGAAGAGAAATAAATCCAACTTTACTGTGCACGCCCCAAGTGATAAATAGACCACTGAACTCAAAAGATTCTGGGATCTTGGTAAGGGCTGATTTACATACAAATCTGCAAGCAGTCTTGCCTACCACTTTACAACCAAGATGAGCCAATCCAGACTAACCTGACATCCTCCTTCCTGCTTTTATATTTTCTGGGTCTTCACCCACACTACCCTTTCATAAGCTCCAACTTTCCAACTGTTATGTGATTCTACCTAATATTCTCCACTCAACTCTTCCCTCCAATCCATAAATATGCCTACACTGCCTTCCCTCCCTCTTTCCACTCTCCTCAAGTACCAGCCAAATCCAAACTCTTTCAGCAATCTTTGCTATTTTTCTAAGGTTCCAACCTATCTCCATCCCTTTACTACCAAAATGATTAGAACAGAAATCTTCTCTTGCTGCCTTCTTAACCACTCTGTAATCTGGCTTTTGATGAAACTACACCCATCCTGTAAAAGTCAGGTCCAATGTCATCCTCTCTAGAAATCTTTGATTGCCCCATATCTGGAAGTATTCATTTCCCCCTTCCAGCATGTTATTATACCTCTTCTGCAGCACTTACTCTCCACCTAACATTATAGCTATTTGTGCTCATCTCTTACCTTCCCTATTGGACAAGAAGCTCCTTGAGGGTGGTGACTAAATCTGATTTATCTTTACAATCCTATTATAAGTTCATAAGAGGGAGCTCATAGATCTTGACTGAATGCACTTCTAATACATATATAAATGTAACAGAATATAGACCACTGAGCTAAGAAGCAGGAGACTTAATAGTGTGACCTCAGGCAGATCCCATCTCTGGACTCAGGCACCGAAGTGAAGAGGAAGAGTAAGGCTCTCTGAGATCCTGTCTAACTCTAACATGATATGACTTCAATTAAAGCCAACTAGCACAGAAAAACAAGAACCCAAACTCTCAGCCCCATATTCCTGGTTTCTTTTGGTCCCCAAAACAAGTTTTTCCTTTCCATTTTATTTCTAAAGAAAAAGTACCCTGGAAGATTACATCACTTCATGCTGAACAACTGGGGAGGAGAAGAAACATGGATCGCAGCTAACCCCATCTAACTGCTAGGTGCAATCCCTGTGCAGTCACTTTCCATACCATGTTAGGGTGGCTTCAGCAGCATCCTTTACCCTCATAGATGCAGGGTTTGGCTCCTTATCTCCTTTGTACTTGACCTCCTGCTCACTGTTCTTGGACTTACTTCCTGAAATACCCAGTTCCACAATCTCCAATACTTCCTTAAGACAGTCCTAGAAGCAGGAAAGGCAGATCAGTTTTTGTAATAAACCTATCTTATGAGAAGATAAGGAAATACAGCAAAATGCTAACAGTGGTTGTGTTTTGGTGGTGGGCTTCAGTTTCCTTCTCACTTTAAAAGGTGTATGTTAATTTCACAATAATATAATAAACTTTGCCCCCCAATTTTTCTTTAAAGAACTGAATTTGAATGTTCAGAGTTAGATAATAAATGATAAATTCAATTCAATCTTATCAGTTATAATTCTTATAAAATTACCACAGACTATAAAATCATGAAAGCCCAAGTTTAAGAGATAGAACTGTAATTCAGTTAAACCTGGGGTGGTTTAAGACATTAAGTCACTAAGATTAAAAAAAAATTCAGGAGCAAGATGGAAACCTAAGACATTAGATTATCCAAAGGGAAGTTCATCAGTTATTGAAATTTTTAAGCAATTCTTGGTACCATAACATTAGAAGCCATAATGAAAATAACTAAGATTTAATCAATAGTATTATTTTAAAATGATACAAAGCTCTCCATAAATTCAATGAGACTGATACCTCTTATTTACACTATGAATTCTTGATAACCACCTGCCTCCCTATAAGGAAGATATTAAATGGAACAATGGCAAGGGAAATCAGCCTAGATATATCTGTGCCTACTTGAAAGTGGAAAATATGTGTGAAATGAAATTTTTAATATACAGGCAAACCGTTACGGCAAGCTGTGCTCTAGGTTTGCAACCTGGCTACCAACTGCCCTTCGAAGTTTGGCAATGGGTGACCAAAGTGCCTTCTGGCCATCTCAAAGCTACCACATCCTTTCAAGAAAGAATTTTCTTGATAGTTCAGATAAATTAGTCAAGGCTCCATCTTTCAAAAGAACTTCTCTATGGATTAATTTGCAACCAAATATAAGCATGATGACAATTTTTGAGTTGAGCAAGTGTCCTACCAAAATATAACAAGTATATTCAGTTTAAAGTATGCAATATTGTATTTAAATATTCTCTTTTAAGGGCATCTTCCCAACATACATTTTTGTTTCTCCTTCCTGTTTTAAGACCTAGTAAACTAACCTTTTCATCAAGCATATCAGGGTGCTCTGTCAGCCAGACACAGAGACACTGAAAAGCTGCTACTATCATGGAGTGCAGATCCCGGGAGTGAAGAGGAGCTGGCCGACTACACTGGTACACAATGTAGCTGCACACGGAACTGATGGCTCGCTTCCGGTCTCCAGAGTCAACCACCACCTTCACCTGAGCATATTCATATGGGGAACACAGTTAGCCAGGAACCACTGTACTGATTTCAAACTATCTGCACTGCAGCCTGGTCTTTCTGACCCTGGGATACACCACAGGAAGCCTTGCTTTCAAAAATTTTATTTATACAAAGGCACCAGGGTGGCTCAATCGGTTGTGTCCAACTCTTGATTGTGGCTCAGGTCATGATCCCAGGGTTGTAAGATCGAGTCCCATGTCAGGCACTGTGCTGGTGGTGGAGCCTGCTTGAGATTCTCTCTCCCCCTCTCCCTTTGCCCCTCCTCCTGCTCTCTCTCAAATAAATAAATCTTAAAAATAAGTATTATTTATACAGAGAAATATTTCAGACATATCATCATAAAATACTCTATAAAATCAGAGAACATTTTTCAAACTCCAAAACAGTTATTTCATTTTAGCCTATTTTTTCATTGGCTAAAAACCTAAACTCCTGGGGTGCACCTATCCATCATCGTCAGATATCAAAAGAATATCTGGCAATGGAACATGTATACATTTCCGAAGCCCCCTAACCCAACCCTGCAGTAATGCTCTATGGGCTATAAAGTTCTGTATAGCTGCTCAGATGTATAATTAACATATAGGAAACTACACATATTTAAAGTGAAGAATTTCATAAATTTTGGCATAAGTATACACTTGTGAACTATCACCACAATCAAAATAGTGAAAAATATCCATCACCCCCTAAAATATCCTCATGCACCTTTCTAATCCTTTTTTCCCCTCCTTTATGCCCCTTCCTTAGGTTACTACTGATCTGCTTTCTGTCAATACAGGTTAATCTGCATTTTCTAGAGTTTTATACAAATAAAATCATATGTATTGTATTCTTTTTTGGGGAGGGGGTCTGGCTTCTTCTACTCAGCATAAATATTTTGAAATTTATGCACATTTTTATGTGCATTTATTAAAATCAGATGATCCTACAATGACACAAAATGTCATGTTGAAAATTTAAGGGTATTATAAGAAAATACAAAATCAACAGGTAGGGGCGCCTGGGTGGCTCAGTCGTTAAGCATCTGCCTTCAGCTCAGGTCATGATCCCGGGCTCCTGGGATTGAGCCCCGCATCGGGCTCCCTGCTCGGCAGGAAGTCTGCTTCTCCCTCTCCCACTCCCCCACTTGTGTTCCCTCTCTCGCTGTGTCTCTGTCAAATAAATAAATAAAATCTTAAAAAAAAAAAATCAACAGATATTCTATTATCATGTGCAAATAAATAGGAAGTACTGAAATGTTTCCTGTAACTTAACAGCAAAAGTATCATTCATAATCTTTGAGCCTATTAAAAAAAGTAAAGTTCACTTTGTAAAATTTCACTTGGAGGCTTACTTTTGCACACTCTGGATAAAACTATGTTTGAGTATAAGCAACACTGTAATACCCATTTCAAGGAGTTGAGAGATACAGGAAAAAGAGTCATGGTCCAAAGCTATTGGGCTAAAATAAAAGGACTGTTCTCCTCACCTTTGCCAGGCCAGAAAGGAGCTCTAGAGCTGCCAGTGATATGCTCATGTCTTGCCGCCACTGGGAGTTGAGTCTTTGGGTGACAAGATGAATGCTGCGAATCAGGAGCCCAGCAGCTGAATCTGTATTAAGAGCTAGGATATAACCCCAATGCCACATCCCACAGGGAGGGAAAACAACTAAGCATTAGTAACGAGAAGCACAGCATTCCACCAGGCACAGACCACAGCAGCCACAGTGAGCACGACGGGCACCCACACAGTGCTATGCTCCCCACCCCACTGGCCTGAGCGTCAAGCCTGACTGAACAACAGTGCACAGGGCACACACACTGGACCAAAGCAGCTTCTAGCTCCCAGCTCAGGTACTTTTACACAGACATCCACTAGGATTTGGCAGTTCAATATATCTTAAAAATTTCTTAATTAACTCACAGAGAGTTACATTTTCAAAAAAACAATGAAAAGGCTATCAATTATTTCCTTGGAATTTTATAGAAAAAAGAATTCACATTTTAGAATCTCCTCAGATGTTAGGAATACCCTAAAACATCTGTTGAAATTATTTTCAGGGTTTAAACTATCAAAAGTCACATGCAATGCCTTTTCAAACACATTTTAACATTTAATTCTCTAAAGCTACTTTAATGTTTCTTTAAAAAAAATTAAATAACCAAGTCAACATATTTTTATTTGGCCTCTAGTTCTACATTTAAAAGTAATTACTAATTAGCTAATAATAAATTAGGACAAATTAAACTGATTTTATAAAGGAAGCTTTAGGGACATTATACCTGTCGATCCTATCAGAAAGAGGGCAGTGACAACAGAAAAAGGAATGATCATTAAAGAGAGACATTCATGCGACACTAACACAAATCTGGATTTCTTAGTAAAAACTACTTTACGACATTACAAGCAGAACTCACTAACACCAGTTCAAAAGGCTGAAACAAACAATAATCACTTCAAACATTTATATTAGAACACATACAATAATTCAAAAAGTTCTTTAGTTCAGAAGTGTTTTAGAAAAAACAAATTTTCACCCACAGTATACTTAAATCCATGAACATAATAAGTTAACAATTTAAATAACTGCTTTATAAATGCAATATTTAAATTTGTTTAATAACCTTAACATAATGACCAGATGTATTTGACATGCTCAAGGATACTTAAAGCAAACTGAAACATGCCTGGACTCCTAGGCTCATGAATTTTCCAGATAATTAAAAAATTAAATTTACATCCAAGGATCTAGATTTCATTCCAGTCATGTTGGACTAGCACTCACAGATTCAATACAATATTAATAATCATGTATAAAAAAAAGGCACCCACAAATTCACAGAACCCGTAAAGTAAGTGCCAAGGTATAGGACATCACTGAAGAGGATGCTCTGCTAGCAAATGTTTCCTTACTTTTGCTTAAAATTTATAGGGTATATAATTTTTAAATACAAAGACTCTCTCCTCTGGGTTCCATCTAATGTATATTTTATCACTTCACGTACCACACTGCAATAATTGATGTGCTGGCTATCCCTATCATTAGAGCCTGAGGCAGAGCACGTTCTATTTCTCCATATTACCAGTATCTGGTAAAAGAATCCATAAATTTTTCCTGACTCCCCCACTATAATCATTTATAAAATCTAATAAACTACCCAAAATCTAGCTACTAAAAGCTATAGAGGTAATTTTAAAAGATTTGTTTTCTTTTTAAAAATCTTTTAGACTAATAACTATTAGGTTATTAAGTATTATACTTAAATACATTAAAATCATGAACATTACAATTTTGTTTAAAAAGATTGTTTTATGAATCTGGGCATTAAAACTTATTCAATAATCTTTGGATTTCAAAAAAACAAACATGGCTTACCATAATCCCTTAGGAGAGCTTGAGCAGGTCTTTCACTATCGGGAGTTGGGGGCTCTGTGCTTCCACCACTTGCTGAACTAATACCACTATTAGTGCGACTATGACTCTTCAGGTTATTCTCTCCACCACCCTAGTCAAATAAAAATGGATCAAAGATTTGAGAGCTACATCCATAATTGACAAGTACAGATAGAAGTCAGTCATTAAAAGCCATGTTGATAAAACAGAATGGGCCAACTAAGTAGCACAAACTGATATACAGATAAAAATTGAGGAGGAGGGGTGCCTGGGTGGCGCAGTCGGTTAAGCGTCTTGCTTTCGGCTCAGGTCATGGTCTCAGGGTCCCGGGATTAGGCCCTGCTTCGGGCTCCCTGCTCAGCGGGGAGCCTGCTTCTCCCTCTGCCTCTGCCGCTCCCCCTGCCTGTGCTCTCTCTCTCTCTGTCAAATGAATTAATAAAATCTTAAAAAACTGGACAAGGGATTAAAATTACTGTGGTGTTTTTGCGTAGACACCATCTACTGAAGGGTATGAAGGGTCTGATGATTATGGGTGTCCATTTGGAGTCTTCTTTGCTGCTGTTTATAAAGGGCCAGCCCAAGACCTTTTCTATCTTCACTAGACTTCACTAGCTAATGACTCTGGGCCCTTAAACAATTACCCTATGCCTCCTAAGCAAGACTTCAGGAGTACAAGCTTAAAAAAACAAAACACAAATAAACAAACAACAGTAACTTTCAAATGTAGTTACATCATAGAACACAAACAATAAGATATCATGGCTAGTATAAAGATTAATTTCTACATGTATGTGGGCTAACAAAGGTATCTGTTAAAGGTTTCTCTCATTTTCCCCCATATAAACAAAATTCATTATATCCAGATCAGTTGACTATTATTAGCTACCTACTGGGATACAAATATAATTTCCTTAATAATAATTTGATCACCCATCCTACATCTACCCAGCTCATTCCAGTATACCCTATAAATTTCCCCTCTCTCCTGCCTCTACTCCAGGTGTGGGGATCACATATCCTGAAGCCAGAAGCAAGGGTCAGTGGGAGTCTCTGGGAAGCTTTTTTTTTTTTTTTAAAGATTTTATTTATTTATTTGACAGAGAGAGACACAGTGAGAGAGGGAATATAAGCAGGGGCAGCGGGAGAGGGAGAAGCAGACTTCCCGCTGAGCAGGGAGCCCGATGTGGGGCTCGATCCCAGGACTCTGGGATCATGACCTGAGCCGAAGGCAGACGCTTAACGACTGAACCACCCAGGCGCCCCACTGGGAAGCTTTTTTAATTTGGAAGTACTGGTGCTTAAGGGGACCTTCAAACTTTGGTCTAGAGGAGCTAAAAGAGCTGATGAGATGGAAAAGAATAAACTCAATACTTGTTTCTAGACAGCATTAAATCTACTAGGGATAGAAGGAATTATGGAATAGGAGGCTTTTCCTAGATTACTCAAGCCCAGTTCACCAGCACGGCAAAAGAAGTTAAGAGCTTTAAGTAGAGACTGCCCAGAAATAAAGACTGCATCTAGCTGAAATTTCTCTCATGCAGAATCTCTCAAGGACCTGATGAATGGCTGAGGAAACACTCAAAGGTAAGAAACCTCAAAATATATATTTTAAAATATGATCCTTCTGAATCAGTGAGCTGAATTTATGAACAAATGCCTTTAAAAATCACAAGGACAGGGATGCCTGGGTGGCTCAGATGGTTGGGCGTCTGCCTTTGGCTCAGGTCATGATTCCAGGGTCCTGGGATTGAGCCCCGCATCGGGCTTTCTGCTCGGCGGGGAGCCTGCTTCTCCCTCTCCCTCTGTCTCCCCCCTGCTCATGCTCTCTCTCTCTC